CTTCCTTGGAGGCTTTTAAACAGACTGGATGGCCATCTGTCGGGGGTGCTTTGAATATGAGTTTCCTGCTTCTTGGCAGAACGGGGTAGGACTGGATGGCCCACAAGGTCTCTTCCAATTCTAGGATTCTATGTTGTGTATATTGTAGAGTGGATTGTGTCTTTCCTGATAGTAGGGGGTTGGACTGGATGGCCTTTGGGTGTCCCAACCTTCGTTGAATAGGATGGGGATATTTTAACTGAGGTTAGTTGGACATCTCTCAGGAGTGCTTTAGTCAGATACCCCTGCCTGGGAGAATGGAGTTGGGCTGGATGGCCTTTGGGTGCCCCTTCCAACTGTGATTCTAGGAGAGTCCTGTTCTCCTGTATGGATGTCCAAATGTGGCAAACGCAAAGACACTCGTCCCTTTGAACAGTCGAACAGCAACAATTCTCCCAAGAGTCAGCTAGTAACTTATCTTTGAAATTCCATTTGGCTTTAGGTTGGTTGAGGACGCCAGGGGAGCCTATAAAGGTGGTAAGGAATACCCCCCCCCCCCACACACACACACACACACACACAAATGTCAATTGTGCATTATCTGAGTCCTCCTTTCTTGTGTTCTGCAATTTGCAAACCCAAAATCTATAGCTGTCGCGGCTGATGACTTTCCCAATTCCCCCTACCAACAGATCCCAGTTTGAGCAAATAGGTCCCAGTTTGAACCAACTGGGATAGATCAGAAGGGGCCGGCCGGGGGGATGCTGCCCGTCCCTCTAAGAATCGAGGCCAGATCTGGCGCATCGGCTGCTCTGTTCACACTTTGAAGTCCCCCTCCCCTCCCCTTGTGTCGGACTCTCAAAGGCCTCATTGATAGAAATGAAAACATGTCTTGTTCCAGGCAAAGCAACAGCAAAAAGCCCAGGGGGGCCAATGTGATCGCGCTCAGCATCTCATGCATGCTCATGCGTGGCCAGCTGTGTGATCCCCGTGTTTGTTTGTTTGTTTGGGTCAATCTGTTGCTCCATCAGAATCAATTGGGATAGAGCCAAAAGATACTTTAATTTGGCAAATTAAAACAATATGTCATATAGAGAATAGCAGGATCTTAAGAGTTGAGAGGGACCATAAAGGTCATCTATGCAAACATCTGAAAAATGCCTGTTTAAAGGCCTCCAAAGATGGAGAGCCAAGTAGAAAACGTTATCCTCGTGTATAGGTGGGATCTCTTTTATTGCCATTTGAATCCACTGGTTGTCATTCTAGTCTTTGGCATTGAGGTTGTCTCCATGACTGTTCCGTCAACTACTTCAAGGTGGCTCTTAAGGAGTCAGCATGGGATTGCCGACTCCTTAATGTTTGGATGTTTGGATCCCTGCTGGACCATGAACCACACAATGGCAGATCTTGCTGGAGCATGTAAGAAATCAGTGTGTGTGTGTGTGTGTGTGTGTCAACTAGGCATGGGCAATCCATGGTTCTAAAGTACTTACACAACTAGAGGGCGCTGTTGCTTTGCTTCTAAAGTGTTGCTAAAGTTCTGTTGGTGAAAATTTCAGAACTCTAGCAAAACTTTCAAAATTTCGTTATAAATAGCAGTTCTTGATTGGTTCTGTCATGAAAATTGCCAATCTATATAAATAAAAATGTAATGTTCGTTTGTGGGATTAACATAACTCAAAAACCACTGGATGAATAGACACCAAATTTGGACACAATACACCTATCAGGCCATCTAGTGACCATCACTCATAAAAACACTGAAAAACACAGCAGAAGAGGCTTAAAAACCCAAAAAACAAAGAATGCATTACAAAGCATGCGCAAAACCACATATATACACAAACACACATATACACACACATAAACACACACACACAAAATGCATATATACTGACTGGGCCACAGCAATGTGTGGCAGGGGATGGCTAGTAACGAAATTTATTTATTTATTTATTTATTTATTTATTTATAATTCAAACATATGCCGCCACTCCCCTGGAGCTCAGAGCGGCTTACAAGAACAGGCTAAAATCTAACACAATTTAAAAACAATTTAAAACAATTTAAAAACAATTTAAAACAGCAATGTCAGAGATCAAAGGCCTGCCGAAATGTATATGTCTTACATGCCCTGCGGAAAGCTGATAGGTCCCACAAGGCCCAGACTTCAGGTGGCAGAGTATTCCAGAGTGATGGTGCCACTGCTGTAAAGGCTCTGCGTCTGGTTGCTGTTAGACACAAGGTCTTGACACTGGGAATTTCCAATAGATCTTGGTCCTCAGAATGGAGGGATCTCGGGTTGGTAGGGGGTGAAAGTTTTGAAAGTTTTGTTAGAGTTCTGAAATTTTCACCACCAGAACTTTAGCAACACTTTAGAAGCAAAGTGCCAGCACCCTCTAGTTTTAGAACAATTTAGAACATGGATTGCACATGTTCAGTGTCAACTGTAAAATAAGATGCGTGAAGCTGATTGGCTGAGCTTCACCCGGGGAGCTGGCTGAGCCTGGGACTTTTAAATACTGTTACATTTTCAGGCTTGAGCTGCACAGGTATTTGCAGAGAAGCAGAGAAAAGAGAGAGACAGAATTTGGAGTGTGCTCTTGCTTCATGAGCCGCTGGAGTTGATCCACATAGACAAAGCAAGACCATTTTAAATCTCTCATAAAAAGACATTATGTGAGTCAATGGAACTGATCACATGATTGTAAATATGTTGTTCTGAATTACGAAGAGTAAACTACTTGTTTGTTATTAATTGTCCACATGGAGTATTTTCTTTAGCGAGGAAGTGAGTGGATTGGTCAAACGTGAACTATGTGATTTTCATTTTGTCACAGATCTTACTAAGAAGTTCCTATGATAGGCTCACCATAAGTTGAAATGACATGAAGGCAAGGAACAGATCGTGTCACCGCTCAGACTTCTCTCCAAGCTGAGAGAGATCCTATCTCAGATTGGGATTCATATGCTGCTTTAAAGTCTTTGAGGCTTGGTTATTTGGAGGACAACCTGTGACCATCTGAAATCCTTCCACTGCCTGGAACTCTGTCCAGTTCTGGGCAAAGGCATTGAAGAAAGAGGTGGACAAGTCGGAAGGTGTCTGGAGAAATGGTAAAAAGTCTGGCTTCCAGGGCTTAGGGAGCCATGGCTTCCAGGGCTTAGGGAGTTGGGAGTGTTTGGTTTAGAGAAGATAATTCAAATGGTCAGAAAAGAGGTTCCTCCTAAACATTAGGCAGAGATGTTTAACAGTGAAATATGCTTCTGTCGGGAAGTCCGGTGGATTCTCTTTCTTTGGATGGCTGCATATCAGGAGGGGTTTAATGGTGTCAGTGGGGTTGGACTTGATGCTCCTTGTGGTCTCTTATATTAGGGCCTGGGGTCAGGATCGCTGGGGGTGGGCTCATGAGGGAGTGTTAGAGGGATCACCAAAGACCATCAGGAAATACAGTATTTTCTGTTTGTCATGGAGGTTCTGTGTGAGAAGTTTGGCCTAATTATATAGTTGATAGGGATCAGAATGCTTGTAGGTGAACTCAGGGAGCGTACCACTCCTTTGTTGAGCCATCTCCACTGGCTGCCAATCTGCTACCGGGCACAATTCAAGGTGCTGGCTTTAGCCTATAAAGCCCTAAACGGTTCTGGCCCCACTTACCTCTCCGAACGCATCTCCACCTATGAACCGACTAGAACATTAAGATCGTCTGGGGAGGCCCTGCTCTCGGTCCCGCCTGCGTCACAGGCGCGCTTGGCGGGGACGAGAGACAGGGCCTTCTCAGTGGTGACCCCTCAGCTATGGAATGCCTTACCGGTAGACATCAGACAGGCACCATCGTTGCTGGCGTTTCGGAGAAAGGTCAAGACCTGGCTTTACGAACAAGCGTTTGGTTAAACAGTGCAATCGAACACAGGAAGACGGTAAATGGAACATAGGAATGGCACAAGGATTATGAGACCGGATCTGATTTCACTGAGGCGCTATGTTTGTTTTATGTTGTTTGTTAATTGTTGTGGATTGATGTGTTGATCCTGTTGTTACATTTGTTGTGTTTTTAATTGCACTGACATTGTTGTGATAATTTGTACCATGTAAACCGCATTGAGTCGCCTGTTTGGGCTGAAAAATGCGGTATAGAAATAAAGCAAATAAATAATAAACTATAAATCCCAGCAACTACAACTCCCAAATGTCAAGGTCTATTTTCCCCAAAACCCACCAGTATTCAAATTTGGGCATTTGAGTATTCGTGCCAAGTTTGATCCAGATCCATCATTGATTGAGTCCACAGTGCTCTCTGATGTAGATGAACTACAACTCCAAAACTCAAGGCCAATGCCCACCAAACCCTTCCGGTAGTTTCTGTTGGTCATGGGAGTTCTGTGTGCCATGTTTGGTGCAATTCCATCGTTGGTGGAGTTCAAAATGCTCTTTGATTGTATGTGAACTCTAAATCCCAGCAACTACAACTCCAAATGACAAAATCAATCTCCCCAATCCCACCATTATTCAAATTTGGGTGTGTCAGGTATTGTGCCAAATTTGGTCCAGTGAATGAAAATACATCCTGCATGTCAGATATTTACATTGCAATTCATAACAGGAGCAAAATGACAGTTCTGAAGTAGCAACGAAAATAATGTTATGGTTGGGGGTCACCACAACATGAGGAACTGTATTAAGGGGTCACGGCATTAGGAAGATTGAGAAACACTGTATTAGGATCAGAGTCGGACTTCTCTGGAGCAGAGCCAGAATGGAGTAGTGCTCTGAGCCATTCTGAAGTCGATGTCCAGCTTCTCCACATCTAAGACCCAACTGAGGCAGTGCGTAATGGCCGCCACATCCGCTCGCATGGCCCTAGCATGTTGAGCATCACACTACCAGGACATTAACTCAGGAGACGACTTTCGGGAATGTTGCATAACGTCTTGGGTCTCTGTCATGCGGATCTGTTGAGGGTGGAGCCCGGCTGGATATTTCCTTAAAAGTAGGGGAGAGAAAGGCTCCTTTCTTTGCCTCGAACTCCTGCTAATCAATTACTTTGGAGGCCGAGAACAGATAAAGCCACTCTGTCTTCCGACGTGAAGCCAAGGAGGAGCCGGGAGCAGCACTTTACTACAAAGAGAGGCTCCGAGACGGACCCCAGCCCTTCAGGCTTCAAGACCCAAAAGAGTGGGGAAGAAAGGAGTAGAGACGAAGAAGAGAGACAGAGGGGAAGACCATCCAACTCAACAAAGACCCAGAAGACAGAACTCCCAAGTCCTCACTGGGAGAAAACAGAAAGTTCCGCTTGGCCGATTCGGCCCATCTAAACTCTTGGATCTGCGGCAAAGGGTCTCTTCATTTCGTCTGAAGACAAACAGACCTTGAAGAGGACACTTCCAACAGATCCTTCCAAAGACAGAAGTGCGCTCGCCCTTCTTTTTAAAGAAGGAGTGGGGGGAAAACAAAGTCTTGTTCCAACTTCTGTGGAGAGCTTCCAGCTTATAGTCCAGAAGATGGATGCTATCTTCAATGCCACGCTGGCTGGCAACCTGTCCATCAACGGGACCGAGGGAGGCAACTGCTCCTCCGAGATGCCATTGGTGATCCCCCATGAGGTCTACCTCATCCTGGGTGCCATCAGCTTTGTGGAGAACCTGCTGGTGGTGGCCGCCATCGCAAAGAATCATAACTTGCACTCCCCGATGTACTACTTCATCTGCTGCCTAGCCATGTCGGACATGTTGGTGAGCATCAGCAATGTGGTGGAGACCTTCTTCATTCTGCTCAACGACCATGGCCTGCTGCAGCTGGGACAGTCCACCATGCATCATATGGACAGCATCATGGACATGCTGATCTGCAGTTCCCTCCTCTCCTCACTGTCCTTCCTCAGTGTCATCGCCATCGACCGCTACATCACCATCTTCTATGCCTTGCGCTACCACAACATCATGACCTTCCAGAGAGCGCAGGCCCTCATATTGACCATTTGGGCGATCTGCTTCGTGGTCAGTATAGTCTTCATCCTCAATGACAGCTCAGAAGTCATTATCTGCCTGGTGGTTTTCTTCGTTGCCGTAGTCAGCCTCATCCTGGCGCTCTACTCCCACATGTTCATCCTGGCCCGCCATCACGCGCGGCACATCTCCAGCATTCCCCAGAAGAAGAGCTCCCCGCAGCTGTCCAGCATGAAAGGGGCCATCACTCTCACCATCCTCTTAGGGGTCTTCCTGATCTGCTGGGGACCCTTCTTCCTCCACCTGACCCTCATCGTCATCTGCCCTATCCGGTGTGCTTGCTACTTCAACTACTTCAACCTCTACCTCATCCTCATCATCTGCAACTCAGTGGTGGACCCCGTCATCTACGCCTTCCGGAGCCAGGAGCTGAAGAAGACTTTGAAGGACATGCTGTTCTTAATATGGTAGAAGGAGGGAAAGGCGAGGAAGAAAAGAAGGAAGGGAGAGGAGAAAGGAAAAGAAGGGAATGAATGAAAGAAGGAAGGAAGGAAGGTAAGGAAAGGAGAGGGAGGGTGAGTGGGAGGGAAAGAGGGAGACTGAGGAGAAAGGGAAGAAAAGTAAGGAAGGGAGAGGAGAAAGGAAGGAAGGGAAAGGAAAGGTGAGGGAGGGAAGGAAGAGGAGAAAGGTGAGAAAGAAAAGAAGGCAGGAAGGGAGAGGAGAAAGGAAAGGAAGGGAAGGAAGGAAGGATGCATGGAAGGATGCATGGAAGGATGCATGGAAAGAAAGGAAAGGAAAGTGTGGGAGGGAGGGTGAGGAGAGAAGGAGAGAAAGGGGAGGAAGAGAAGAAGGAAGAGGAGAAAGGAAAAGATGGATGGATGAGATTAAAGGAAAGGGAGGGAGAGGAAGGAGGGTGGAAAGAAGGAGAAGGGAAGGACGGGAAAGAGAAAGAAAGCAAAGGAAGGTATAATGAAAGTATAATGAAAGAGAGAAACAGAGTGAGAGAGAGGAAAGGAAGGAAGAATTAAATATTGGAAAGGAGATCCCATTGAGGAGGATTTGGCCAGCTTGTTCTTTGCTGCTCCAGAGACTAGGACACAATGGAGCCGTGGATTCAAGTGGCACCTAAACATTGATGGCTCTCTATGAAAGCTGGACCTTCCGCCCTCCCTTAGAGGAACCCGAGGCACACAAACTGTCTAGCGAGTGGAAGTTCAGGTGAGGATATAGAGAGACAGGTGGACAAAGACGGTGGAGAAACCTCAAGCTTCCTGGCTAGTATTCCTTTCCTCCTGCAATGCCGTGCTCCAGGGCTCCTTGGCACAAAACAACTCCTGATAGCATTTTTGGCTCCACCTAAAAACCGATCCCAACTTTTCCCTGAGTTCCCCTTCGCTTCTCTTTGCCATTGGGAAAGCAGGGAAGGTGGAATGAAGCTAAGACTCCTGCTCCCTCCAAGACCTTCTCCTTCTCAGTCCCCAAACTTCTAGGAAACTTCAAGATTGAGCTTTGCGTCTCATTGTTTCCCATGTGCTGATCTTCCAAGTGTTTGGACTTCCGTTCCCAAAATCCCCAATCATTGGCTAACACAGCAGTGGCTTCTGGGAGCTGAAGTCCAAAACGCCTGGAGGGAAAGCCGAAGTTGGCCCATGCCTGGTGTAGATGCACCCAAAGAGATCCAGCCAGAAAACAGACTAAAACCCATGCTCCTTCATGCCTCCTTGCCTTTTGTGTTCCTCTGAATTTGGATTTATGCCACATCCAGAACTCTCTATTTTTCAATACTGTTTTTGGAAAAGGAGATATTTTTTCTGGGATTGCGTACTGGGTCGCACCACAAATGGTATACACAGAAGAGACATTTTGTCATTGCAAGCTTTCAACCAATTGGACAAAAGGACAATGGTGGTCATCTGAATCTAATTTCCAATCCTTCCTTATTGACAAAGAGTTTTTCAAAGGGAAAACAAGTTGTTGCGGCCATCATTATTTTGGCTCTATGGGTTGCTTAAGAAGGAAATGGAGCAAGGACTGATGATGCGACCCAGTTGCCTTGAATTTGAGTGTGTAAATATGATGATGATGATGATGATGATGATAATGATAATGCATATGTATGTATCAAAGGATCTTCTGTATAGTAATAATAATAAAGCTGAATTTTGTGGATCGTGTATATGAATGTGAGCTCTGTGTAGTTTGTGTAGTCTTAACTGCTCCGAGTCGCCTCTGGGTTGAGAGGGGCAATATAGTAAATAAATATAGTAAGTAAATAAATAATAAACTCCACTCTTCAGAAAGTGTTGGGAATCTGAGCTGTTAGGCTCCAAAATAATCCATTGGGGTGATTCATAGAATCAAAGAGTTGGAAGAGACCTCCTGGGCCATCCAGTCCAACCCCCTTGCCAAGAAGCAGGAATATTGCATTCAAATCACCCCTGACAGATGGCTATCCAGCCTCTGTTTAAAAGCTTCCAAAGAAGGAGCCTCCACCACACTCTGGGGCAGAGAGTTCCACAGCTGAACGGCTCTCACAGTCAGGAAGTTCTTCCTCATGTTCAGAATGAATCTCCTTTCTTGTAGTTTGAAGCCATTGTTTCACATCCTAGTCTCCAGGGAAGCAGAAAACAAGCTTGCTCCCTCCTCCCTGTGGCTTCCTCTCAGCCTTCTCTTCTTCAGGCTAAACATGCCCAGCTCCTTAAGCCGCTCCTCATAGGGCTTGTTCTCCAGACCCTTGATCATTTTAGTCGCCCTCCTCTGGACACATTCCAGCTTGTCAATATCTCTCTTGAATTGTGGTGCCCAGAATTGGACACAGTATTCCAGGTGTGGTCTAACCAAAGCAGAATAGAGGGGTAGCATGACTTCCCTAGATCTAGACACTATGCTCCTATTGATGCAGGCCAAAATCCCATTGGCTTTTTTTGCCGCCACATCACATTGTTGGCTCATGTTTAACTTGTTGTCCACGAGGACTCCAAGATCTTTTTCACTCGTACTGCTCTCGAGCCAGGCATTGTCCCCCATTCTGTATCTTTGCATTTCGTTTTTCCTGCCTAAGTGGAGTATCTTGCATTTGTCACTGTTGAACTTCATTTTGTTAGTTTTGGCTCATCTCTCTAATCTGTCAAGATCGTTTTGAATTCTGCTCCTGTCCTCTGGAGTATTGGCTATCCCTCCCAATTTGGTGTCGTCTGCAAACTTGATGATCCTGCCTTCTAGCCCTTCATCTAAGTCATTAATAAAGATGTTGAACAGGACCGGGCCCAGGACGGAACCCTGCAGCACTCCGCTCGTCACTTCTTTCCAGGATGAAGAGGAAGCATTGGTGAGCACCCTCTGGGGTCGTCCATTTAACCAATTACAGATCCACCTCACCGTAGTTTTGCCTAGCCCACATTGGACTAGTTTCCTTGCCAGAAGGTCATGGGGGACCTTGTCGAAGGCCTTACTGAAATCCAGGTACGCCACATCCACAGCATTCCCCGCATCTATCCAGCTTGTAACTCTATCGAAAAAAGAGATCAGATGAGTCTGGCATGACTTGTTTTTGATAAATCCATGTTGACTATTAGCGATGACCGCATTTGTTTCTAAGTGCTTGCAGACCACTTCCTTGACAATCTTTTCCAGAATCTTTCCTCCATAAATATAGCAGAGTGCTAGAAAGCAAACTTGATAACCAGCAGAACATTACATGTAGTGAGTCAGGATTAGCTTCCATTCAACGGGATGGTACAAGATTGCAGAGACAGAACTTTAGGTTCAAGCAAAAAGAAATCCATTCTAGATAGAAAAGGGTCTTGGAGCTCACTAGCTTACTAAGTCTCATCTTCTAAGGAAGGTGAAAGGATAACAAGTCAAAAGTATCCAAGCAGCTACATTTTGCCCGGAGAAAGGCAAAATGCATCTTCCCTGGAAGGGAGACAAAGGCAGAGAGAGTGCAATGGAGAATGATTGCATGGTCAAAACCCAGGGCAATTAAAATAAAGTGAAAGTTACCTCATACATCACAGAGGTAAGAAGTTACTCTTCTTACCTCCTCCCTCACAGAGATTCCATTGCTACATCTTCAAAGGGGGAGGAGATCATGGCAAGCAAGAAGAGTAAAGACAAAAGGCCCCTTCTGGAATAAACATGCATAGGGATGTGGGGGGGAGGAACCCCTCTGTTGCAACCCAGAGCAGGAAACTGGACCCTCAGACAACCATCCACCACACTTGACTTCAGGAAAACAATCCTTTTTTTATTGAGGAAAGATGAATACAAAATAGAGGAAAAATGCAAAGGTAAAAAGTCACAGTAAAAATCAGCAACAAGAAATGTCCATAAACAAGATCATAAAACCCACAGCAAAACTGCAGAATCCTGGAACCTGTTAGCAATCCACTAACCGTACTTGGAACAACTAGAAAACCTCTGAGGAACAAGGCCACTTGAATCAGGAGACCTGCAAAAGCTTGCACATGAATCTGGGATGATGCCTGGTCTGAAGCTGCATTCAGGCCAGGCATACTTAAGGCCGAGAAATCGATTGCGAGATATGCCTGACATTTTTGTTTGCCTTTTTCTCAATCTGGTTGACCTACGTAAACTTTATGCTTCTCCCCGGCTCTGCCAAATCTGCCCCTGCCTATCCTCATTAGGCAGACCAGGTGTCAGATTCTCTGGAGAACTAAGGCTGGGAGGAAAAGGGAGTGAAACTTCTCCGCTTGGCTTGGAATGCATGTTCTCATGGGAATTTTGACTTTCACTTTCCAAGGCTGTAGGATTTTCACTACTCAAACCATCATCATCTAAATTGGCCTCAGAATTCACATTGACATCTACATTGGCATCAGGGAATACAATCAGAGAATCAGGTTCACACACAGGCTGAATCCCAACACCCTCACTCTAATCCTATTTCTAGTCGAGCTACTCATTGAGGACTGGAGACTTGATGACACACGGGACTTCTGCAGTCTAGGGATGAAAACCAACAGAAGGAGAGAGGATGTGTCTTCATTTGCTTTTTCATTCTACATCCGTCCATCCATCCATCCATCCTCTCCTTCCTTTTTTCCATTCTTCTTTTCATCCATCCTCCACTCCCTCAATCTCATGCACATAATTTCTAATTTCTTTCTTTATTTAATTTAGTTCTGTCCCATCTTTCTCCGGACATAAGGAGATGGCTATGCTTCCAGATCAGGCACGGGCAAAGTTGGGCCCTCCAGGTGTTTTGGACTTCGATTCCCACAATTCCTAGCAGCCTATTACAGCTCCCAGAAGCCCCCAGCCTGCATAGGCTGCTAGGAATTGTGGGAGTTGAAGTCCAAAACACCTGGAGGGCCCAAGTTTGCCCATGCCTGATCTAGATATATTTGTATTTAGGGCTGGATTTTTCTGATGCATGCATTCCATCTTTTATCCAGTATTTATTGCCTTCCTTCTGCTCATTATTCCCATCCATTGTTGAGAACTGT